CCCGAAGTCGATCCTGGGAGCCGGCAGGGGGGGCGCCCGCGCTCCGACTGCAGAGTCTTGTGGGGGGGGGGGGGGCGGCCCTGGGCGTGGCCCCGAGGGCGCCCCCTAAGAGAGGAGGCCCACCGAACAGTCGAGAGCGCGAGCAGAGCCTCGACCTCTTTTTTGTGTGCCCCGCCCCTTCTTGTTTTGTGTGCTTGTGGTTCTGTTTGTGTGCTTGCTGTCATGTTTGTTTGTCGGTGTGCTCGCTTGTTTTCTTGCTTGCTTGCTTTTGCTTTTTTTTTTGTTTGTTTGTTTGTTTGTTTGTTTGTTTGTTGGTTCATTGGTTGGTTGGTTGGTTGTGTTGTATCGTGTCGTGTTGTGTTGTGTTGGTTGTTTGTTTGTTTGCTTGCTTGCCTGCCTGCCTGCCTGCTTGCTTGTTTGGCTGCTTGATTGCTTGTTTGCTTGTTTACTTGATTGCTTGCTTTTCCATTTGTTTGTCTATTTGCTTGTTTGTTTGATTATTTGTTTGTTTGTTAATATGTTTGTTTGTTTGTTTGTTTGCTGTTTGGCTGTGTCGTGTCGTGTCGTGCCGTGCTGTGCTGTGTTGTGTTGTGTTGTGTTGTGTTGTGTGTGTTGTTTGCTTGCTTGCTTGCCTTCCTGCCTGCTTGCTTGGCTGCTTGGTTGCTTGCTTGTTTGCTTGCTTGTTTTCCTTTTTGCTTGTTTGACTGCTTGCTTGTTTGTTTGCCTATCTTTTCTTCACAGCGTGGGCCCTCGGAGGTCTTGGCCCCTTCCCTTCCCCCGAGCCGTTTCTTGACGGACCCGAGGCCCACAGCTGGCCCCCACGAGTGAAACATGGCAGCAGACCGGCCGCCTTTTTTTCTGGCTGTCCGGGCTCCGTCCTCCAGCGCGTCGAGAGCGCCCCCCCGTTCCGGCCGGGGGCCCCGGCGCCCGGGCCCCTGCTGGAACACGGGGCGCCCAACGAGCCCACACGGAGCCGCCCACTGAGCTCCTTCGGAGGCGCCGACGACGCTCCACTTGGCCATCGGCCTCGGGCCCTGAGATCCGGGCGTCTATCAGGAGGGAAAAAAACACACAGACACAATTAATCGTCGCTTCCCCAGAAAATACGGGAAAATATGGGAAGTGGGGGGGAAGCCAAACACCCAGAAAATATAAGAAAATATGGGGAATATGTTTACGTGTGTGTATTTATTTGTGTGTCCTGGGGCCCCTTCAGTCTAAGTTTTTTCGAGCCGGGCGTCTTCGCCTTGCTTCGGGCCCCGGGGCCCCCGCGGGTCGATCCGGCTCGAGCACTGCTGCAGAAAAGGTGGGGTCCAGGGCTCAGGGCGTGATGTTTTCTACGATGCTGCACCTTTTTCCGGTGCGTCGGATCTCAGAAAGGGGTCCCTCCACCCTCGCCGAGGGCGATTGCTGTGGCTCTGAGGGCCGAGGCCCCGCCGCTCCGCCCCCGTTCGGGGCCGGATCCCCAGATCCGGTGGCAGCGCGCTCGCTCGCTCGCTCCCTGGCCCGAGGATTGCTCCCCTGCCCGGCGCCGCCTACGCCGTCGGGCCCGACGCCGACGCCGACGCCGACGAGCCGCCTGGCACGGCAGCCGACGGGCTGCACGGCGCGCTCGCGGAGGCCGCCACTTCGCCTGGGGGGCAACGCCGCGGGGGCTTTTCCAGCAGGGGGGCCACCTGGTTCGAGTAGGAGGTCGACTGCAAGATCGATATACCCCTCCATTGAAACTTCTCCCGAGCCTACGGGCAATACGTACAAGGTTCCTGTTCGTAGACCTCACGAACATGTCAAGTTTTGGGTGCATCGATTCTGTTGTCGACCCCCTTCTCGACTGGTAAGGCTTTGGGTTGTGCACAGACAGCCTCCCCAAGTAGTGCCGGCTGGCCTCAACAGGCCCCCCGAGTAGTCCCAGCTGGTCTTCAGAGACCCCCCCGAGTAGTCCCAGGCGGTCTCACAACCCTGGCGGCCAGCTGGGACTACTCGGGGGCCTGTTGAGGCCAGCTGGGACTACCTAGGGGTGGAGAGTTTCGCCGAAAGGCTTAGGCTACCCGTCCTCCTCCTTTTTCCTCCTCCTCCTTCTCCTCCTCCTCTACCTCCTCCTCCTCCTCCTCCTCCTCCTCCGCCTCATGTCCCTTCCTCTCCTTCCTCATCCGCCTACTCCTCCTCCTCCTTCCTCCCATCTCCTCCTCCCTCCCTCCAGACCGGTTTACCTCTCCTCACTACGCCTTCACCTCACTCACGTACGTTCTAAGTAAATCCTCCTCCTACTCCTCCTCCTCCTCCCGCCTCCGCCTCATCTTCCTCCTCCTCTCCTCCTCCTCCTACGCTCCTTCAGCAGCACGCCATCTTCCATACTGAAATCTCCTCCGCTACCTCTCACCCATTCTCCTCCCTTTCCTCCCTCCTCCTCCTCCTCCTCCTCCTCCTCCTCCAGTGCACACAGGGGTCGTCTGTGCGCAACCCGGAGCCTTACCAGTGCCACCCCGTCTTATTCTGTATCCCAGGGAACGCACGACTTGTAGCCCCGGGACATGGGTGAGAGCACGGCCATGCGCACTTTGGTGCTTGTTGCAAGGGATCGTGGCCGTCCGGACCAACCATGCAGCCGGCAATGGGGCGAGAACGCGATTCCTGAATTATTCACTGCGTGGAGCTCCCCATATGTGCATCTACTCGCATGGACCTGTCCGCCGTGAATGTCTAGGCGCAAGAGCTTTCGAATATTAACGGGCTTCAGTTGTGACGGTCTGGACATCAATCTAACTGCGAATGAAGTGTGAATGAGCCTCAGTAGTACGAGCGCGTCTCTGTGCATGAGCCTGGGGCCTCCTGGGGCCTCCTGAAACCTACTGGGGCTTCCTGGGGTCTCCAGGAGCCTCTTGGGACCTCCTGGGACCTCCTAGGAAGGTTTCGTGCCCCTGCTGAAATGAGCGCCTCGCTCGAGACATCCTCCAAATCTGCTCCGAAAGCGAAGGATGTTGGGCACAGAAACAGGCAAACCGCCTGAGACATCCCCACAAAATGGCCGCGAACGAGCCCGTGCAACCACCCCTGGCGGCTCCCCTTAGGGGTGCTGAAATGAGCGCCTCGCTCGAGACATCCTCCAAATCTGCTCCGAAAGCGAAGGATGTTGGGCCCAGAAACAGGCAAACCGCCTGAGACATCCCCACAAAATGGCCGCGAACGAGCCCGTGCAACCACCCCTGGCGGCTCCCCTTAGGGGTGCTGAAATGAGCGCCTCGCTCGAGACATCCTCCAAATCTGCTCCGAAAGCGAAGGATGTTGGGCACAGAAACAGGCAAACCGCCTGAGACATCCCCACAAAATGGCCGCGAACGAGCCCGTGCAACCACCCCTGGCGGCTCCCCTTAGGGGTGCTGAAATGAGCGCCTCGCTCGAGACATACTCCAAATCTGCTCCGAAAGCGAAGGATGTTGGGCACAGAAACAGGCAAACCGCCTGAGACATCCCCACAAAATGGCCGCGAACGAGCCCGTGCAACCACCCCTGGCGGCTCCCCTTAGGGGTGCTGAAATGAGCGCCTCGCTCGAGACATCCTCCAAATCTGCTCCGAAAGCGAAGGATGTTGGGCACAGAAACAGGCAAACCGCCTGAGACATCCCCACAAAATGGCCGCGAACGAGCCCGTGCAACCACCCCTGGCGGCTCCCCTTAGGGGTGCTGAAATGAGCGCCTCGCTCGAGACATCCTCCAAATCTGCTCCGAAAGCGAAGGATGTTGGGCACAGAAACAGGCAAACCGCCTGAGACATCCCCACAAAATGGCCGCGAACGAGCCCGTGCAACCACCCCTGGCGGCTCCCCTTAGGGGTGCTGAAACCAGCGCCCCGCCTGAGACATCCTCACAATCTGCTCTCCAAGCGAAGGATGTTGGGCACAGAAACAGGCAAACCGCCTGAGACATCCCCACAAAATGGCCGCGAACGAGCCCGTGCAACCACCCCTGGCGGCTCCCCTTAGGGGTGCTGAGTATGAGTAAGTCTGTGTATGAGTAAGTCTGTGTATGTGTACGTCTGGGTATGACTAATACTGTGTATGAGTAAGTCTGTGTATGAGTAAGTCTGTATATGAGTATGTCTGAGTGTGAGTAAGTCTGAGTATGAGTAGGTCAGAGTATGAGTAAGTCTGAGTATGAGTAAGTCTGTGTATGAGCAAGTCTGAGTATGTCCGACAGGAGGGGGGGAGAAAAGAGGAGGAGGAAGGAGGAGGAGTAGGAGGCGTCCAAGTAATATCAAGAACCCCATCTTAGGATATGGGGAATAAATGTGAGGAGGAGGAGGAGGACGAGGAGGAGGAGGAGGAGGAGGAGGAGGAGGAGGAGGAGGACCAGCGCCAGACCGTGTCGTGCAACCGAGGGACGGGAGCACGGGCCTTGCATGAGAAAGTTAGACGGGTCTTAAAGACATGCCCGTCTTAGGGTGGCGACCAGCCTTGATGGCAGAAATGGCAAATGTCTGCCGATATCTGGTCAGCCCGTGCTCCGACGCCCCGAGACATTCCGCTTGCAGCTTACAGTTAGCTACTTTGCCACGCGACGCTTGGTAGGAGCCACAAAGCGTACAAACCATCGCCCAGGGCAGCACCAGAACCTGGTGCCCCTGGAGCTCGACGATAACTTCCTCGGCGGTGGACTGAGGCCCCGCAGATCCAGAAACACCCTGGACGTCCTGTGGCAAACCAACACCCTCAAAATCCGCAACCCCATTCAGGACAACATTCACAGCGTGAGACCTCATGAGCGGAGCTCGCTGGAGCTGCTGGTCCGCACGAGCCTTCAGCCTCTCTTGGGCCGTCGGCTTACATTCAGTTCCCACGAGCTTCCCAAAGCTGGCCTGCGTTCGGGCAGCCGCAATACATTCTCTACACTGGAAGACTTGGGGAGACCTAGCTACCATATTATGACCAGTCAGAGCAACACAGGGCACATTGTACAGAGGGACCCTCAGGAGTTGCTCAGGACGGCCGCTCAGTAGATCACGTGCAGCCATCTTGGCCGCTGCCCAAGAGAAGAACTTCGCCTGCACCGTTGCATCCTGAAGCCGAGCCTCAAAGTATTTGACCACCGTGTCAGGTTGAGCGTGTTCAAGGGCACCTCGCTTAGCAAAATTACTCCGACGGAAGAACCCCACGTAAGAATCCTCTGGGCGAATCTGGAAAAAGCCATCACCGTCGTCCTCGTGGTTGGTGAGGCGTCCTGGCTGTCTCTTCTGCGTATATTTCCTCTCGCCTTGGCGCGGGCCCCCCTTCCACTCCTTACGTTGTCCCCATCCTCGCCCCCCTGTTTGTTCCGCGCCCCGCCACCTCCTCCCCTTCCTGTTGCATGAGCGCGCATGTCGATGTTCCTCGGCGCCGTCGCCGCCACGGCCAGCACAGGCGCGTTCTCTACTGGTCACGTCGCGCAGCCGTTGGGACAACCCCGCGGGCCAGGCTGTCGGGCAACCCCGCGAGCCGTTGGCGCGCAAGACCAAGCCGTTGGGACAACCCCGCGGGCTTCGAGCGAGGCGCAGCCGCGCTCAGGCGGAAGGCAGCACGAAGCCCAGCTCTGCCGCGAGCTGCTTCGCCTCCGCCCTGGACAAAACCGCTCTCTTGTCGAACTCCAGGAGCGCCTTCCGCAGGGACGCCGGCGGCCCGCACTCCAGGAACTCTCGCGGCGGCGGCCGCAGGATCAGCATGTTCCGCATGCACGTGGCGCGGGAGAACATGACGTAGAGGTGCAGCCACCACTGCTCGTCCGACATGCCCGTGCGGCCAGCGTCCTCGTCTCTCGCGCAGTCGATGGTGACGCCCTTGCGCAGCGTCTGGCCCTGCGACAGCGTGGAGGTCAGGTAGGACGCGTGCGTCAGGGTGAACCCCGAGCGGCGCACGCTGTGCGCCCCCGAGCTCTGCCATGTGAACTCCCTTTCGCTGGGCCTGAACATCAGCAAGCTCCGCGCCCGCGCCTCGGCCTGGCCGTCGTCGTCGGCGCCTTCGGCGCCCTGTCGCAGCACCTCGGCGACCTCCTGGTAGATCGGAGACTCCTTGAAGCCGTGCACCTGCAGCCAGATTCCCTGCGGTAGGAAGCGGGGGCGAAAGAGCTGGCCTGCCGAGCACTCCTCGTAGCGCTGCTCGTCCTCGTGGTGGAACTCGAAGGACACGATGGTGGCCCGCTGCTCCTGCACGAGCCCCAACTTCTTCTTCAGCTCCTCCTGCGCTGCCGTGAACCGCACCTCCATGCCGACGTGGGCCGGCAAAACGCCGTGGATGTCCCCCGTCTTGTGCATGTTCGGGATGTTCAGGAGGCGCCGACCCGCGTCGGGCTTGCCCTGAATCGTGCCGCACTCGTCAACGGCCTGCAGGAAAACAAGGGGCGCGCCCAGATGCCGAGCGTCGCGACGAGCGCGCGTGTTGATCCACCTCGCCAGCGTCTCCCAGTATATGCCCATGCCGTAGCCGAGCCGAAAGTTCTCGTGCTGGTGCCGAGGGTCCAGGACGCCCTGGTTGTCCGTGGCCAACGTCTTCTCCCAGGCGGACCAGACCTCAGGTGGGAAGGGCTTGCCCTCGCGCGTGCAGCCCAGGAACGTGATCAGAGGGTCCCCGGGCTCGAAGCGCTTCGTGCCCTTC